CGGAACGGGTCACGATAGTAGCGACGTCCCAATACAGGTGCTCACGTCGTTGTATCCCCTTTCGAAGATAAACATTGTCGGTATACGTACAACTCCCCTCAATATCAAGACGGAAGGAGTCTGGCAAGCAGTCTCGCAGTTGCCCGACGTCCGCGAGATTGAGATTGTGTACGACGATGATACTGCCGCCTCCTTCTTTAGCTTCATGGAGCGGAGCCCTGTGGCGTTTCCCAAGCTCGAACGGCTAGCGCTCTCCGCATGGAAAAGAAGTTCCTGGAGCAAGCGCGAGAGACAGAAACTGGCCGACACTCTCATGTCGCTGCTAATACGGCTATCGGGCGATCGCAAAGAGCGCGGTATGGAAGTGAAGTGTCTTGACATCGACTTCGGCGGCAGCATGAGCTCCAAGGACAAGTCTCATCGGACTCTTTCGAAGCTGGGGGCGCTGGTTGGGGAGATAAGAGGCATTAGACAACTCCGAAGCCACGATGACGACAAGTAAATCGGGTAACATGGCGAGTAGGACGTGTCTCTTAACGCTGTGGCGCAACAAGCCATGTCAAGGCATAGTATTTGTGGTAGCCATGGTGCCTGTCTCATATTAGCTCATGTGCCGTCTTTAGAGTGAATGCTCTACTTTCAGCTACACATGTGCTCGACGTGGGTTTTGTCAGCAACTAACAATCCAACTGGACTGAGCTACAACAAAGCTGAGGAGACAGACGAGAGGAAAGTGAGTGAGGAAAGACCAGCTCGAGTCTGGCTTGTTATTGAGCAGTACAAGCTCCTTATATACATGTCAGACTGAATACCTAGAATATCCTACGAATATATAGAGGTGTATAGAAAGTGAAAGAATACCATGGAATCCGGGAGAACCATCCGGATTGTGTAATATTCATGACATTACCCCCCCGTCTAGAATCGTGTCCTCACGATTATTTACCCGTCGATCCAAACCCCCCTGATCCTCGTTGAGTCTTTGTTAAACTTGATACCTCCTCGATATCGCATGACGCAATGCGTTCCAGGATGACTTGTGCGATCCGATCGCCGGCGTGTATTTGGAAAGGTTGATTCGTGGAGTTGATCATCACTACGCGTACTTCTCCGGTGTAATCTCGGTCTACTACTCCAGCGCCGATATCTATCCCTTTGACTGCTAATCCACTTCGCGGCGCAATTCGTGCATACGTTCCGTGGGGCGCGCGTATTGCTATGCCGGTGCCGACAACCTTGCGGTCTTGTGCCGGTATCTTAACGCTTTCAGCTGAATAAAGATCCAATCCGGCCGATTCTTCAGATCCTTGCTTCGGGAGAATTCCACCCATTCGTTGCACCAAAAGAGTGGAATCGCGTGTGAGTATGTGGACAGGTCGTGTCAATAGAGGGGGAATTCGAATCATCATAGGCGCAGGTTTGTCGGGGCGTCTAGCGTGAAATTCCTCAAGGAGTTCTTGACAATTGGTCAAGTTTGCTCGTGATTCCCAGGAACAGTGATCACCGTGGGGACTATTCTTCCAAAGGACCTGATATTCAAGATTTCCACTTCGGTCACGACGAGAGTCAAGAATGTCTTCGACTTCCCATTCTTTCTCGCCGTTTACGAGGTCAGGGACTATCGGTTCTCGTTGTTGTGATGGATATGCAGGTTCTTTGAAGGGGCTAAGTAGACTTTCGTTGAAAACGGGGTGTTGTTTCCATTGACGTGGGAGTTCCAATTCATAGGCGGAAGCTCCGACTTTGCGTTTAACCTTAAAGGGTCTATATCGCTTATCGTCAAGCTTCTTCATTGGCCTATCTGTTCGGATGTTTATCCCTTCTAGCCACACTTTATCCCCCTCCTTGTACTCTGGTCCGTTCTTCCTCTTTCGGTCGTAGAAGCGTTTCATTGTCTCCTGTGCTAGACTGATGGCGGCGCTAGTGTCTTTGCGTACGCGATCCATTCTATCAACGAACTGTTGGACGTTTTCGCTTAGTCTTTCTCGCACTGGTTGGGTTCCTTCGTAAGGGTGATACCCTTTATTGACAAAGAATGGAGTATACCCGGTAGATGAGTGAACTTTATTGTTATACGAAAAGGTTGCGAGTGGCAACCATTCGGCCCAATCCGCTTGTCGATAGTTGATGAATAATCGGAGATACTGTTCTATCTCGCGATTGATGCGTTCCGTTTGTCCGTCTGTCTGGGGATGATACACGGTTGAAGGGTTGGCTTCGATTCCGAGTGATCGGTACAACTCGGAGATGAACTGATTCTTGAATTCAGTTCCCCTATCGCTGATGATCTTTCGGGGTAATCCATGATGTGCGACTACGTTATCTCGGAGTGCCTTTGCCCATCCTTCGGCGTTAAGCTCAATGGTGCTTGGTATCGCAATTATCTGCTTAGAGTACATGCAGACGACCACGAGGATGGCGTTGTATCTGAAGGATTCCGGCAATACGCCTATCTTGTCAACGGAGATTACTTCCCAGGGTCGTGAAGGGATTTCGTTGGGGAATAGAAATCCGGTAGGACGCGTCGTATGGACTTTGGTCTTCTGGCATTTCTCGCATCCAGCCACATATTTCCTGATATCTTCGCGAATTCGGGGCCACCAGTAGTTGCATGTGACCATCTCATGTGTTTTGTATTGACCAGGATGTCCAGTCAATGGGGTATCGTGGTGATGAGCAATGATTTGCTCGCGGAGTTTTCTATTTACTGGTACATAAATACGATGCTTCCATGTCACGAGTCCGGTACTATCTTCGTTCCAGTCTTTGTCCTTGTTCTGTAAAGCTACGGTAACTAACAAATCTTGGTTCTTTTTGTGTTTTTTAATTTCTGCTACCCAGTCCCGTTCGATTCCTTCTAAACTAAATACAGTACTATGAATCAAGGCACGAAAATGTTCTGGTTTTAGTAATACGATATCGGAATTGTCCTCTTTCCCTGCATTGTGCCTCTTTTGGCGAGATAGTCCGTCGGCTTTGCCATTCGATTTACCGGGCTTGTGATGTAACGAGTATTGATATTCAGCCAGCTCGGTTACCCATCGGGCTTGTCGTCGGTTGAGCTTCTGTGGCTTCCGGAAGTATTCTAAATTCTTGTGATCCGTCCATATTTCAAACGGATGTACGGCGCCCATGAGGTACTGACGCCATTCATCAAGACTAGTCATGATTGCGAGAAGTTCCTTATCGTAAATCTTGTAATTCCTTTCGGCAGCTGTCATGGCTTTTGACAGATAAGCAACAGGCTTCCATTTGCCATCTTGCT